ATTTAGAGATTTTATCTAATTTGAAAAAAATCTCTGAGACTCTTAATCTAACTTGATAAAACTGAGTTATCTATTTTTGAAAGCTGCTGTTAAATGTTATAATTCATTTAAGTGATCTGAATCCATTCCAACAGTCATTTTAGGTCTTAAGAAGAGTATATATATTCAAATAGTGTACAGGTAAACAATTAAACTCCCTGGATAAATTTTAGATAAGCCTACACTTTCCACAACACCTCAAATATTTTTACATGTATTACAGAAATAAATAAAATTGTTCAAGCCCTTTTCAGTACAATGAAAAAGTATTTCTAAGTTTTTTATCTGAATATGTGTACTCATATATTTCTGCAAACCCACACAATCAAGAAACTGTTTGAGCCTACTTATGAAGGACCCTCCTAAGTAATTAAAAGAAATGAAAAATACTTCCTAATACAAATCAAAGGCAAGGAAGTAAACATTTTGATTAACAGGTTGAAGCCAGCTATTGTTTAACGTCAAGTGATCAAAACCTGGAACCAGAGACATCTGACACTCAGTTTAAGACCCAAGTTAAAACACAGATATTGTTTTAAAATGAGACAAATGACAAATGATCTTGAATATCATGAACTGGATGAATAATAATACATCCTTTAAGCTTTAATAACATTGTTGAATATTTTTCCTAAACACTTGTGAAATATGTTTAACTCCAGTTATATGTATTTATTTATTAGGTTTAATATTTTTTAACTCTAATGTTGGTTTCCACTATCAGAACGCCTTAAATCATAACATAGTCGCTGGTCGGAAAGTAATGTATTGACAACTTAATTTAATAATGTTTTTGCCTAATTATTAAGATTTACAGTGGCAACCAAATTTTTTTTTTTAAATCTGAATGATTTCAGATTTTAAATTATATCCAAAGGGGCTTTTTTTTTTTAACATTTTGTGTGTTACCTTTATTTATTAAATATCATCTTCTACGTCTCTCAAACCATAAAATTCAGTTCAGCAGCAGTATCGCAAAATAATTTTTAAATGAGAATATCTTAAGAATTTCCAATACACAGTCTGACGTAACTTTTTTTTTTGATTTTTTTTTTTTTTTTTTTTTTTTTTTTTTTTTTTTTTTTTTTTTGCACAGTGTTGGCATTGCTCGCTTTTAAATTGCTTAGATTTTTAATCAAAAATTCATTGAAATGTTACAAAATATGAAATTGATAATAAAACAAATTCAATTTAGGGCTTCCACGTGCCCATATTCTATGGAAGATTACATTATTCAAATTTTGATGGCTCTAGGTACCATTGTTTTATCACAAGAAACATACATGCATTCATGCAGATTCTTATTCTTTAAATTCTTGATTATTTAATTTCTTTAAATGTAGTACAGGGTGATAATACGTGGTGGCAACAATTTGAAAAGTGATTCGTCTTTTATAGTTTTCAAAGCAAAATGCCAAAACGAAATTAATAGTCCTTCAGGGCAAATTGCCCCTTTGGACTAATTATTATCTATTAGTGTTGTGTTACTATTGTTTCGATTTTTTTTTCTTTCCTTTAATGCCTATAATGACTAAAATAATTTTTATTATAATTATGGTCTTAAATATATTTTATACTGTAAACAGGAGTATTGGTAACTGAATTAATATAATGCTTTATAAGTGGGTTTTTTTTTTTATTATTATTATTATTATCATTATTTACTTATTTATTTATTTATTGTTGGGATCGTAAAAAGTGTTCAGGCTGCTTTTTCTTTCTTTTTTTAGACCAAAGGGGTAATTTGCCCTGTTAATTTTGCTGTGGCATTTGTGTTGAAAGCTATAAACGATGAATAATTTTTTAAATTGTTTCCACCAAATATTAACGCCCTGTATTATATTTAAAATAATTAAATGATGAAGAATCTGCATAAATGTATGTATGGTTCTCGCACTCTGATAAAACAATGGTATCTAGAGCTATCAAATTTTGAATAACATAATCTTCCATAGAATATGGGCAAGTGGAAGGCCTAATTTGAATTTGAAATTTGTTTCATTATTGATTTCATATTTTGAAACATTTTAACGAATTTTTGATTAAAAAGCTAAATGATTTCAAAGTGAGCAATAGCAACACCATATGAAAAAATTTTTTTTTTTTATCTCCAGCACACAAGGCTCTGAATCGGAAATTCTCATTTTAAAATTATTTCATGATATTGCTTTTGAACTGAATTTTATGGTTTGAGTTCGTAGAACATAATATTTAATAAATAAAAGCAGCACACAAAATGTTAAAAGAGCTCGTCTTTAAATGAAATTTAAAATCTGAAACATATCAGATTTTTTATTTATTTATTAATATTTTACATATATATTTTTCGCTTTTATATGTGTAATTTTATCTGTGAGCATTCATCTTGTCTCCTTTTATTCATTTGACTTTTGTACATGTGGACTTTTTATCACATGGGCTTTTGCATGCAAAATGCTCACTTAAGTCCGGTGCTTCCCGTTTAATTAATGAATGGCTGCAGTTCTAGTTATAAGAGTGGTGTTTAAGTGTAGTAATGTGGCCCTATGCACTACTAGATGAGAATGCTTACAGTGCCACCTGGTGGAAACTGTTGGAGTTAGCATTCCTATCTCGAAAATGATATGCAATAAGAGGGAGAAATTGTACTGCAGAGTTGTAGAGCATCATCGATTCAGCACAAAAACACATCTTGTGGATATGAGTGCTAAAAAACACACATTTGCTTCTATCTTTCTGACATAAAATGAGCTTGCATCGCAGCACAGTGATATCACTTGTAATTCGTAGTTGGCAGAACTGTTGTTCAAACCCCCACCGGCGTGGTTCTTGTACTGATTGTCTTTACAAATAGAGTAGGCATATACAGATTATGCACAGTCATGTCACAAAATGCGTCAACGCAACTTGAGTTAGTGTACAAAATTTGTGCATTATGGAAATAGTGTATGAAATATCACATCTTTTCACTAACGACAGCTATAAAAGAGATATCTCCTCAGAGTTGTTATGTTGAAGCTCATAGTTATGGAGCAATTTTCAGAAAATGTTTATTGTAAGATGGTTTTACTGTACAATGAATGAATTTGGGTGCAAGACAAAAATCAGCAGCATGTTTGCATCAGCAACTTTTTCCTGCAGATCCACATTCTTCACTCAAAACTTTCCTACAGGTTGCAAAACATTTAAGAGAAGCAGATTGCTTGAGTATCAAACTTTGATCCATCAGACCAGCTAAGGTAGAGCAGAAAGTACAACTGACAGATGTTTAATCGTATATCATCACATATCTGAACAACAGCACAAGAGAGATAAGTGAAAACCGTGGCTTTGAAAATCCTAAACAAATAAGGTAATCATTCATACTGGATAACACTTTATTAGGCATTACTGAATGGGGATGCTGAGATATGTTTCGAATGGTGCAACTTTGTCACAAACCAGATAGAGATCTAGCCAACATTCTTAGCAGATATAGTTTGGACAGGTGAGGCTTATTTTTCATGGAATGAAATGTACAATAGGCCGAAGACCCATTTCTGGGCACTGGAATATCCATCATGTTCTTCTGATGTTTGACATCAAATATGGTTTTTGATTAATGTTTGGTGTGGAATTTACAATATTTTACCAGGGTATGTTAACAGCTGCACAATATTTAGAACTTCTTCAAGACTAATACCAGATTCTGTTGAGAACCTTCTTCAGCTCTGGAATGGGTGGTTCCAAAATGATAGCACACCTGCAAAGCAGTACACGATAAAGGAATTTGGAGAACAAATAATCAAGTATGGTGGTTTCGAAGAGTGGCCTCCATGTTCACCTGACCTGATTCCAATAAACATTTTTCTGATACCTTAAACAGCAGGTGTATACAACCCCTTTGTAAACATTGCGGGACCTTCAACAATGTATTACATGAGACTTCAATGATGTTTTGTGCAAACGTGTCACCCACTATGCTAAAATGTGTACAATGTGAAGTTCTAATAAGGATCCACATATGCACTTCAGATGATGTAGTGAAGTTTGAACAGTGAAAATAGAAGTATCTTATCATAGCATGTTCGGATCACAGTGTTAAAAATCATGTTGTTGTTGTTACTTATGCTCACTTGTCAGACAGTAACATCAGTCCAAGCCTACGAAATTCCTCATGGCAAAGATCACAAAATACACCTGTCATTGGCAACAGCTTTGAGCACCTTACAGGTAAAAGTGCAATTTAGTTCAGTTCTGCCCCCAGTTTTGATGGAGAGCACCCCAGGGGATGGGTCCGAAGGTCTCCCACCCCTTTCCCCTTCCACCAAACCACAGGAGAGGACTTACGGCTCGCCGCATATTTAGAGTGCTGCACCCACACTATACATTTACAAATATCCATGCCTTCTCTGGAATTCGAACCCGGGCCCATCACAGCAATCAGCGATGCTAACCATTATGCCGGTTGGGCGGTGTTAGAAATCATGAGCAAATGTGTATGTAAAAACTTTGTTTTTTTTTAACATTTATGTCATCAAGGTGTCTTTTCTTACTAAATCCATAATGTGTTACATCTTTGTAATTCATTTCTTCCTCCTGTCTCATTCCATTTTTGAGCTAATTCTGTCGTTTTCTGCCAGGGAGCACTGTAAGCGTCTTAACTAGTAGCACATAGTCGCTGTACTATACCTAGGTGCCACTTTTATGGTATAGCTGCAGTCGAGAGGAAGACTTCACAATTCCATTATTTTGCATGCTATGTATTTGCATCATTTGCTTTCACTATATGTTTGTTATATTATTTTTAATACTGTATATTTATTCTTGAAGAATACATACTTTTTAAGAAACTGGAGAGTTTGATTTTTAAAAAAGAAATATTTGATGGCTGTTTTTTGAACTAAGTAATTTGATGTTATTTTATTCTGTCATTTCAGCTAAGTTGGTTTTTCCTATATATGTGTGTTTTCATATCTTGTTTGTTCATCTCTCTATTATAGGAAGACATTAACCAGTTTATTGATGCTTGGTGGCTATAGTAGTATGACAGGTTGTATTAGTGGATCACTTTTAGGTGGCAAATTTGGTTATTCTCGACTGCCAAAACATTGGATTGAAGGCTTAAATCTGAAAAATAGGGAATGGCTAAATAGTAAAATCAACGCATTGCTAGATATGATGGGTCTTCCATAATATGGCTAAGTAATTTATATCTTGGTTGTATAACTGGTTGTAAATAAAGTTATTATAATTGATAAAGAATGTATTTATAAAAATAATTATTGAATGTTGTGCTGCAGATTACCAAAAAAATCACTCTTTCCATTGATATGCTGATTTTTTAATATTTAATGTTACATTCACTACAGTAAAAAAAAAAAAAGTAATTTATATATTAAATTTTCTTGTAGTGAATAATTATGTAGCTCAACAAGAAGTAATTTATATATTTATTATTGTAAATAATTTGGAATTAATAAAGTCTTTATTTATAAAAAAAAAATTATTGAAGGTTTTATGGTACAAAGTACCAAAAAGTCAAATTCTCTCTCAATTACTGTGCTTTTATATATATATATATATATATATATATATGATATTACAATCATTATAAGAAATTGCTTTGTTTAAATAAATACATATATGCATAAGTAATTTATTTTCAGTAATATACATATAAATTACTTAGACATATATTTTAGTAGTCATTAGAATTAATGAAGTCTGTATTTATTAAAATGATTAATGAAGATTGTGTCACATATTACCATAAAACAAAATTTTGTTTATTACTATACTGATGTTTTTTAATATTGAAAACAATATTCAGTGTGAAAAGCGATTTGATAAAAAAAATAATTTATATTGTTGCAAATAGAATTCATAAGTCTATATTTTAAAAAATAATTATTGAAAAGTGTTATAAATTTTTTTAAAAATCAATCTCAATTACTGTACTGATCTTATATATATATAATATTACAGTCATTACTAGAAACTGCTTGATAAAAATATGTTAACTTTTTTTATGCCTTGTTTGTTAAATAATGTTCATATATCAATGAATATAAATTTATTTTTCAATTTTTTACATTGTTAATTTTTAAAATAAATATCAGCATGCAGATTTGATGTATAATTACTTTTGTGTTCAGTTTTGATACATGTCATATTTTTTGTCTGTACTTTGCACAATACTTTTATGCTGTTCCAAATTTATCTATCTAGCATATATAACTTCCCCAGTCTTCTGTGGAAGTATATATTTTTGTAATATGCTTTTATGCTTGTTTATTGTTGGCTAATAAAATATATGTATACATATGTGTATGTAAAGTATCATCAATATTCAATCCTTATGGAATTATTACAAATTTAAAAAGCTTTAATTGTTTCCTCAAACTCTTTATTCATTAACTGTGTGATGACATAAGTTATTTCTTATGATTTGTATCATTCATTTTTTTATTTGAGACATGGCTTCTAAGGAAACAGAATTGACTTGATTTTTATATTGGTTCGTGCATCTCAGTTATTTGAATGTATTTTATATGAATTAGAGTTAATTATCAGAATAATTTCAAGTTATCTTAGAAGTCGTACTGATGCAAAGCATTCAGTCATTTTCATCCTCTAAGATATATGTAGTAAGAATAGGGAGGAGAGTTGGATACAAAATCATTCTGTCACCACTGGTATTCAATAGTTCAAGCCAATAAAAGGAAATACTTCTAATCGCTTCTCAAGTTATTCTTGAGGTAATCCACGTGTTAATATCCAGACAAAGGGGTAAAGCCGTAGCAGCTTTGTGCTTCTGAATGCACAAAGCTGCTAAAATCAATGAAATATCAGTAGCATCACATATATCATTGAAAACAAAAGTAAATTTCACAGATCTGGGAAATGAATAAATAAATTAAATGGTAATTTCTTGTCAATTATTTATAGAGGCTTATTTAATTTTTCAAAAAATAGTATATTAGTCTATTAGATAGCTTTATCTAATTTTGGGAGTAACTTTTATCAAAATTATTATCCAAAATAAGACTATATTAATTGTTTCAGCTTTCTGATTTAAAGATCTGTATAATGAAAAATATTTCCTCAGACTATCAAAACTAAGAATATTTTTTCCCTATGAAAAGCTATTAGGGAAAAGTATTTTTTTTTCCCTAATAGCTTTTCATTTAGATTTCTGTGGACATTTCTACAGATATATAATTACTACATGAGTTTAATAGTTAAACCAATAGCTGTGTAATAATATATGCATTTAAATGTGGTATTATAGTCTGCAGGAGATTTGTAGTTTTAATTTTTACTGTCTTAAAAAAATGACATGATTAAGATATAGTTTCAAATAAGTATGCTATCTTATTTTTATTTTACATTAAAATATTTATTTCACGTCTTCTGTTATTAATTAAAACATGTGAAAACTATCTGCCTCTTTTTTGGGAAGAGGGGCAGCAGAATATTGCCAAAAAAATGACACGATTAAGATATAGTTTCAATAAGTATGCTATCTTATTTTTATTTTACATTAAAATATTTATTTCACATCTGCTGTTATTAATTAAAGCATGTGAAAACTATCTGCCTCTTTTTTGGGAAGAGGGGCAGCAGAATATTGCCTTCTAAATGATTTTCGGGAGTTGATAATTTGGTTATGGCAAAGCATATAAGTGCTTTTTGAAAATTTACTTCATTTGTGAAACTACTATTTCTCTCTCCAGATAGTCTCACAAGTTCTTGCCCTGAGTTACAAAGGGGGGCGAGGACCGAAATCTCTGTTGCTTGTGAAAAACCTATTATTTATCAAATAATGTATGAGCATAAATTATTGTTATAGTAAGGGAGTATGTAATTTAAACTGTGTTAAGTTAAAAGCATTAAACTTTTGCTATATATTTGGAAAAAAGTAATGAATAAGCTAAAAGTATTAAACTCTTTATTATATAATTAAGATACAATACAATTAATAAGATACAATTATTGTTTGGCTTCTAAGTATGCTATCTTAATTTAGAGTTTAGATTTCAGATATTACACATTTCAGATATTTATAGTTCAAATATTACACTTCTAAATTCTTTATTATATGTTATGAAAGTAATTATTGTGATGCTTAAATTTTTGTAATTTTAATTTAACTGTAATAATTTTCAGTTGATAACAAATTCTTTTTCTGCATTTGTTTCTTATATTGTTGTTTAACAGAGTAATAACAACTTATTGTTATGTGAATACAAGTTCATAATTTGAATGCAAACAGAACCAATGATACCTTGATAAAATTTATAAAAAAAAACTTTACAATTCTGGAACTTTTCACCAAAAGCATCCATCAGCTCTTCTCAGTATGGCAAAACACAATCAGTAGTTACTGAGAACCTTGAACACGAGACAGTGAATGCAAAACACATCTAAAACTGAAGCTCACACAGTGATCTCTCAATATTCTAAATTAAACTGAAAACTGATGCTTTCTCTCTTATATAGTCTTCCTCCATCTGCTGAGAAATTTGCAATACTTTCAATTTCTCAAAATTGCTGGAAGGCATACAATATTACAGTTACATAGGGCTGGATACAATTACAGAGGGATCAAACCAAAATTTTGCCAAGTTTAACCAATTTGGTGATAAAAACAGTCACCAAAACCCTAGCTAACATGGCTGTACCTCACCATTTCTTCAATGTTAAATGGTCTTGCCCTTGTACTCCTATGTTTCTGGCAATGCTATACTTTCTTAGGCCTTCCATGTTACATTATATAAGAGGTAACACAATTTACATATAACCAAAATTCATAACAATATAATTTAGTACTGTATTGTATAAATGCTTGATAAAAATTCCTGATAGGATTCTTCAAGATTATTAAATTAAAGCATAATACAGAAGACTCCCTAAAAGGCTGTATTACCACCTTCTCCCGTAAGGCTCAGGCCTAATGATCCTAAACATTTTTATAATCCTATTTTTTCCTTAGGGCATCTGAAAGAAAGCTGTGCATAGGACCTCAAACTGTGTATTGGCTGCTTACCTGAACACTATCCCAGTTATTGTCAGGGAATGGAAAATGAGAGTACTTTAACAGCCAAGACACTGATCACTTCATTGATATCTAAGTAGTGGCAAATAGTGAGGCATGACAAGTTCAGATATTATACTGCATTAGCATGATGCCCTAGTTTGATTTTTTACACTTTGATTGTGATTAAATACTAAGTTTTGCCAAAGTTGCATAAATGCAGGCAACACATTACTGAATGTTTTTGATGCAAAGTTTGAATGTTACTTTGTAAAAGTTACATTCAAACATTCAAAGTAACAAAGTATTATTCATTATAAAAAGAATAAAACTTAAGAAACCTAGAGCAGTCACTGATAATCAAAAAACTTCCAAACGTTGACTGCAATGCACATTTAAAAATTATTTAAAAATTATTCACACATATAACATGCTTTCATAGAAAATGTATTTCCTCATCCTGCTGCGTACCAAATTATTCGAGAATGGTTTGCAAAGTAAAGTCTAAAATAAGTATCGCCGAAGAGTAATGAATCCTCTCGCTGCCTAGGACAAAAGTTTTCTGATACCCAGCACCGCATCCAATAAAGATGTTCTAAAGGACCTCATATGTAATTCAATGTCTATCAATGACCTCAATGTAGCCTGTGTTACTTTTCCTTCATATAAAATTGCATTTGCATTTTAATTCAAAAGAAATTTAAAAACCAATATTAACTTAGCATGGCATAACTTAGCATACAACTATCCAGTCTGTTTCTGAATGTCAGTGAATCTATATCCAGTATAATAGATATTATACCAATAATGAAGATTACTACGTTCATCTGAAATTTTGTTCTTTTTCTTTTTTTATGTACTTTAACAGGAAAAAAGTGCTCGCAAACGTTTAGACTTTCATTTAAAAAAGTTGTGATAAACCAGGAGTAAATATTTTTTAGTTAAGCACAACTTTTAAAAGTCCGTTTATATTGCGTAACCCGTTGCACCTCTACCATTCACTTGACAATTTCACAAATAATTTGATAGGAATTAAAGGTGGGTCTTGTAAGTAGGTTTCAGGTGAATAAATACACTGAAATGCAGTTGGTACTTAAATCTACTATCGAACTATTCTAATAAAATGGCAACTAATGCCACGGATTTATTTCTTCATTTTATATGAGCTGTCCAGACTTAACTGGGTTGTTCTTGATGTGTGATTGCTGCAACTTTTGTTTCATTCCTAATGTTATTAAACTTTGAAACATCATTTATGATGACATGAACGCCGCATGTTCAGGTCATCTGGGTATGTAAGCCATATTTATGAAAACGTAATCCAATATTTTTCATTTTCAAATTCAACATCATAAGCCTGTTAATTTTTTACGTTATGCGATGAGGGCTACATTAGTGGAGCTTCGCAATGGTCACGGATCCCAGTTTGCCATTTCATGTCAAATATACACTGAAATGCATGTGGTATTTTATGAAGTGGAATCTAGTTTAGAAGTCTTGTGATAAAATGCCGTTTATACGAACCGTTTAGACAGAGTTTATTTCGAATGTTAAATAAATAATGAATACTATTTGTTGAAATATCATTCATTATTTATTTTGGCGTTAAAAACACGTTTAAGTCATATAAAGAAGTAGTTATTAGTTATAACTATTAAATTGTATGCATTTAGTTCTTGTTTTCAAATACAACGTCGCATACCTCATCTTTCGTTTATCTTTCTGTTATATGATGCGGACTGCAATAAGCAGGTTTTTTTAACAGCCGCAGATTGGACATCAAAAAGGATGCTGCCGTTGCAGACGCTTCTAGGTGTTCGTATGGGGATGATTTAAACCAACAAGTTGTTGATTTACAGCCAAACTAAAAAAAAAACTTATAAAAATAGAGAACCGTAGCCTTTTAAAGATTTTTAGAATGTCTGAATACATAAGGGTCGTCCTCTTAGTATTTCTGTAAGTTATACCTATCTACCTATGATAAGTAAGCAGCGATGTAGGGATTGGGCAACGAAATTGGAATACCTGCATCTAGGATGTAATATTTAATGAATCAGACCAGACCTTCTTTTTACGGCCAATATTAACGCGATTTTTCTTGGAAATGATCAAAATAAAACTTGTTCAATCATTAAAAGTATACTTAGTCGTTCATTTTGCAAAATAAGAGCTATTTCTGTTCATGGTGAAGGAGGAGAACTTATTTTCCATCTGTCTCCTCTAATAAACCCCAGGCAGGATGAAGAAGATGTTCAAGCTGCCTTTCTGTTCTTCAAACCAATATATC